GTGACTCCAGCTCTAGGGAATCCTCTAGCTTGTGAGCACTACACTCAAATTAAAAACAAAATAGAACTTTTACAAATGGAAGTGTCATGGCAAGATCAAAGTAGGGCCACCACAGGGGTGGGGCTGGGGGCTATATTCTGGTGGGAAGAAAAAAGAACTGCCTGCTGAGGAAGATGAAATGAACTAGGGAAAGAGTTCAAGGTAAAGGATATTTAGAAGTCAGTCTTCATGAAGAGAGTGAGAACAAGTACTTTGTCATCAGATTCTCCCATGTATTCAGTGAGGCTTCCGACAAGACAGTCTCAAGACATACCTACCTCACAGCAAACAGATCACTGAGGCAAAAGCAACATCCTCATTGCACCACACCCATGTTGTTAACTGTGACGAAGGAGGGAAGGACACAAATTCAAGAGCATCTCAAGATTCTGCCTGGCTTAAAAAATAGGGCACATACCCCTAAAAAAAGAAATTCCACTGGGAAGTCTGATAGATTAGAAAGTGTTCATAAAGGGTATAACTGAGAAATATATAAATAGACCTTTCAGAGGGTGGGAAAGTTAGATGGGAGGGGGAAAAGGAAACACAGCAACAGGCATCTTACAGGAACAATGTACAATTATTAAAACTCAGCATGTAAAATAGACACTGTAAGGATAAAAGTGGTCTGACAGACCCTTGAAAAGGGATGGTGGCTCAAAAAGAGGAGCAGCCACCATAAATTTAAAATCACCCAAGAGTGTGGGGCTCCAGGAGCTGGGCCAGCGCTCAGCAGCGCCACTCCCTGAACTTCCATGACAAAGGGTCACTCTTGCTTCTGCCTGACATTCTAGGTAGTCTTTAGAATGGCTCCCTCTTCCTCTCTCACGGTCAGGAGCTGTGATCTGCTTGACAGCAGTTTCATGGATGTGCAGAAAGGAGAGCAGCAGCCTCAGTACTACTAGGGGTCAGGGGGAAGTTAGGGAGGGGAAAATTAGGGAGGGGATGGCCAGGAGGCCAGGCTGGAAGAAGACAGCAGGCAGGCTGCTCCAGGCCCACTGATATTTCCAAAAGCCCTGCAGGTGATTTTTGCTTTTGATAGGTAGCCCAGGCTAGCCTTGAACATATTCCCCCTCCCTTAGTGTCCCATGTGCTGGGACTAACAGGTGTGCACCACTATGCCTGACTCTAGGCTGAACCTCCTCCATGTGAGCTGAATTCCTCCAAGAATGGTCTGTGAGCAGCAGCAGGGTGACACCTAGGGGCGGCTGAACTTCAGATGTTCAGGTCCTGTACCAGACCTGTTGGATCAACTGGGTATGTGACAGGATTCCCCAGGGAGGCACGTGTGCGTACATTTGCACTAACCCTTCCTGTCACACTGGTGTGTTCCTGTCCACACTGGTGGGAGCAACTGTGAGTCCACATCTCTTCTGGGCCTGCAATTTAACCAAAGCATACAACCTTGGGGGTAACCTACTATCAAATGTGACTCTCTGGTTCCTCAAACTCGAAAGGCCCTCAGAGTAAGGTCACCACTGCTCTTCATCATCTGTAGGGGATACTCACCATGTTTATGTTGATTATACTCTCAAATGATAGCATTTTGGGTATACTGAGTTAAATAAAGTATTTTATCAAAATTAATCTCACCTGATTTTTAAAGTGTGACTCTAGCAAACCTAAGATGACATATATAGCTCATGCTACAACACTGTTGGACAATGATCCTGGAGAACAGGCCTGTGTTAGGGAGGAGCCGCCCTCAGGATAAGGTTCTTTGCTCTGCCCTAAACCTCAAGACCTAGAGGTGCTCAGAGCCTGGTTGCTCCCCCCATGAGGCTATGGGTAACTGTGTGGTCCGGTCCTAGACACCAGGACAACAGTGTTGTCCTGTCCCAGGCACCTGGGTAACTGTGTGGTGCTGTTCCAGGCACCTGGGTCACTGTGTGGTGTTGTCCTAGACACCAGGATAACAGTGTGGTGCTGTCCTAGGCACCTGTTCTGATTCTCCGGTTCTAATTGCCAAATTGGAAGTCAGGCAAGGAAGCTTTCTCTTTTACAGATTTCCCTCTGTAAGTATTTAAGGATGTTAGCAGCAGCTCAGATAAGCACCTGGCACCACTTCCTGATGGCCTGGGGATGAACTGATCCTTGCCACTTTATGTGATGTCCTCTACCTTAAAGGGAGAGAAATAAGGCTCAGAAAGGTCCATTTGCTCATAGTTAGAAATCAGTAGAGCTGAGCTGGAGAGAGGGCTCAGCAGTTAAGAGTACTGCCTGCTCTTCCAAAGGTCCTGAGTACAATTCCCAGAAACCACATGGTGGCTCATAACCACCTGTAATGAGATCTGGTCCCCCCTTCTGGCATGCAGGCATACATGCAGGCAGAACACTATATACACAATAAATAAATAAATCTTAAAAAAAAAAAAGAAGACTCGGGCTGGAGAAATGGCTCAACATTTAAGAGCACCGACTGCTCTTCCAGAGGTCCTAAGTTCAATTCCCAGCAATCACATGATGGTTTACAACCATCCATTATAAGATCTGGTGCCCTCTTCTGGCCTGCAGGCATACATGCAGGCAAAACACTGTATACACAATAAATAAATAAATCTTAAAAAAAAAAAAAGACTCAAGCAATATTAAAAAAAAAAAAAACAGTAGTGCTAAAACACAACCAAGGCATTTGACTTTCTGCTCACTGCACAACACTGCCTCCTAAACGACCACTAATGGCCAAAGGTTTCTACTTATCAAACTTTTGATTCCAGGACCTCTGCTCTATGCAGGGAAGAACAGAAGTGGGAAGCACAGCACAGAGTTGCAGTGAGTTGCTGGGGTCACTTTGGGCATGTCCCAATAGCCTGGAAGGGCTGACAACTTCTCCATGGCAGGAGGTGATGAGTGAATCCTTCTAGGCCTATGGGGCTTGAGGTACACATTGGGGTGCCCCAAACAGGCTTCTGATGTGGAAGTGGGATGCACACAGGGCTATTCACACACGCAGAGAGGCTGTGGCCATGAGACCATTCTCCCTTTAGAGTTAAAAGCATAATACATCTTAAATGCCTGGACCCATCTAACCCAATTAAAACCCAGCCAAGAGGAGGCACAGAGTCCAGACCATGAATCTTGCCTTGCTCTACTATGACTGCCCCACCTCCTTGCCTCTCACCTCCTCTCTTGACCTGAAAAATGTTCTCACCGGATTGAGCCATCAGATCCGACTTCCTGAATCGAGAGGGTTCACAAACCATCTCAGTTTTATGTAGACCAGTCTAGCTTTGAACTGGGAGAGATCTACCTGCATCTGCCTCCTGAGTGCTGAGATTAAAGGTGTAGGCCTCTACAACTGATTATGCTGCTTCCATATAATTTCTGTGCATTCCCAGTGTACCTCAGTCTTCCTTAATATGGATCACAGAAAATTAGGGCTAACTCATCCTGCAAAGTTTGGAATTCACATCCGCTTTCTGCAGAAGCCAAGGTCCAGAGGTTTCAAGTCACACATTAGATTGGCACCAGTTGGGATCAGGACTTTGGACTGTGACTCATAACTCAGCACTTCTCCACGCTCAGCTCCAAACAGGAAACCAGAAAAGAGAATAGGGTAATTTTTTGTTCAAGGGCCTCGATTCCAAGTTTAGGCTTTGTGATCAGTTAGTATAGGGGATAGCACAGCACCAGAATGGCTTTTGACAGGTTTATCGTGGGACTCTGACCAGGAGCTACTTCCTGTCTGGAATGCCCCTGCCACAGGCTCTTGGAGGTCATTAAAATGACCAAGTCAGTTAGTTAAGGAATTTAAGGAAAGCATCCAAACTATGCACGCTCTGCTCTGTGGAACTTGTACACCCTACAACTGTGTGGGGAAACAGGGAAGAGAGGTCAAGGAGTAGCCACTGGCCCCGATGCACCATGTCCCTTCTAGAACCTTCCAAGGCTACCTTCACCATTTATCTATATTGCTCACACACAGTGTCTCCTGCAAATGAGGCTAAGAGAACAGTCTTCTGAAGACAGGAAAAGAAAGTTTGTCTGCATGGTTTATCAGCTCCCAGAAAAGGTCCAGGGAAGCATGTCTTACATCTGAGGGGCTGGCAGACCCCTTTGTCCTTCCAGACAACAGACCTTGAGTATCTGCCAATGGGCTGAAGGGGAATGTTCAACAGCTTCAGCCTGCCAGAAAGACACCAGTGACAAAAACCCCAGCATTATTTATAGTCAAATGTTTCTCCCAGATTCTTTCAAGTCAGTTGAAATTATTTTGGCCACAGAAATGGGGGAAAAGACAACTGATTACTGTTATTTCATAGATAGCATCTTTTTCTGAGTTACGTATATTTCTGCAGTGAGCACTGTTACTCCATGGTGATGCTAATGATGGCAGACTCTTTCCATTCATTCCCCCAAACATTTGGTATTGACCTCTGAAGAGAACATTCCAGATGCTGGAGAAATAGTAATAAAGAAGATGACCACCCTGTGTCTCAGAGCTGTGCCATGGGGACTTAGAGGGTGGCAAACCCTGAAGAAAAACTGTCAGGGAGTTAACAGGAAGGAGAGTTGGGAGCTGGGGGTGGGGTGGGGCAGTTAAGAAGGGGTTTCTCTAATTTGGGGGGTTTGAGCAGAGGCCTGAAGAACTTGAGTGAAATCTGGGTGAAAGACCAGGGCAGAAGAAGCTCTTGTCTGGGCAAGTCACAAGGTGAAATACCCAAGGTCTTGTCAAGGAGGAGCAAGGTTTGGCCACAGTGAGGTGATGGTTGAGGAGGAGGAGATGAGCCTATGCCAGGTCAGGCTTCCCTCTGTAAAGTCACCATTAAGAACCCAGTTTTGGTCTGCTTTTGATCTTGGTGAGCTATAATAAGTTGCAACGTGAGCCTGGACATGAGCCCCAAGCCCTAAGCTGTGTGTGGCTTCTCTTCTTTGTCCTTCTGTCTGTGAGAGAGGACAGAAGTGAAGCTGCCTGGAACTGGCAGCTCAGCTCCTACCACAGAGCTGCTCCTGGGACTCACCTTCCACAGTCAGCTCCACCGTCACCTGGCGGGCCCCACTGCCATTGCTGGCTTCACAGGTATACTTTCCGTTGTCCTCCTCACAGACAGTGTGAATTACAAGGCTGAAAGTCCCCCGCACTCCACAGTCCAGCAGGAAGCGGCCCCCGTTGGTGATGGTTTGCCCATTTCTGTGCCATGTCACCTGGGGCTCTGGGTAACCCCGGACCTATAAGAAAAAGAAACTGTAAGGGCTTCTGTTTCATACACCCTCACTATGTACCCTAGAGTTCAGAGGTCACGGTTCTTGTGCATTATACACTGGGTTGCAAGGACAGTACAAAAAAAAAGAAGAGAAAAGAAAATATCTCAATAATTTTAGCCTTGTGACACACACTTGTAATTGCAGCACTCAGGAAGTGGATGCAGGAAGATTGGGAGTACCAGGTGATCCCCAGCCACACAGGAAGTTCAACTATGGGCTATGTGAGACCCTATATGAATCCCTCTCCGTAAAAACCAACCAAACAAAACCCCCTGAAAACACCAAAACCCTAAAAAAATATATTGATTACATACTGGGAAAGTCATATATTTTATGTTTTGGCTATTAATCATTAAGATGCATTAAGATGAATTCTAACCTGTTTCTCTGTACAATTTTCCTGTAGCTACTGGGGAAAGATATGCCTCCACATACCTCCCTTGGCATTGTCAGGACAGCTCTGCACCAGTGCTCTGCCTCTAGCAACAGTTACGACTGACTGTGAGTGCTAAATGTTCAGTACTTTTCCAAGTACTTGTCTCATCCAATCCTCAAGGCCTCTTATTCAGACAATGCAGCTCTCAAAAAAGAGAGAAATGAAGAGAGAAACTCCAATCTAAAAGTTATCTTTGAGGCGTTAGAAAGATGGCTCAGCAGTTAAAAGCATGCGTTCCTCTTGTAGAGGACACAAATTTGGTTCCCAGCCATGTAAGGAGGTCTCTCCCATGTCAGAAAGCTCACAACCACCTGTAACTCCAGGTTCAGGGTATCCGAGGCCCTCTTCTTGACTCTTCAGGCACCTGCACTCTCTCTCTCCTTCTAGCCTCTGCATGTGTGTGGTACATAGATACGCTCAGACGTGCATAGGTGTACACACACACACACACACACACACACACACACACACACACACACACACCACAGAGACAGAGACAGAAACAGAGAGACAGAGAAGAGACAAGGAGAGACAGAAACAGAGAGAGAACAGATTTTTTAAAATTCCCCCCCACACACACACCTGACAATCCCCCCCCCCCACACACACCTGACACTCTGCAGATCCCTCAGGATGGACCTATCTTCAGAGCAGCATTTCTCAACCCAGTCCAACCATACTCAGCAAGGACCCAGAACTGGGCAACTTTGCACTGGAAAATGCCCAAAGCCTTCTGGGAAGGAAGCTGTTTTTGTTACAAAATATTGTAGGGATGATTTTTATCCATGCAGCCATTCCAAGGCAAGAAAGAACAGCTTCAGGTAAAATGGAACTAAAACTTGCATTCTGACAACTCCCACCCACCCACTCTCCATAGCCCCCCCTCTTCCTTGCAAGGTGGGTAGTGATGATATAGGGATCTGAGGGGTAGCATCTGCTCCAGCTCCTAGGCTCGCTCCCACATACAGTTCCTCCCCTAAGCACGATAAAAGGGGGGGGGAGGCACAGTTTAAGCATCAAGCATTTTCTTTTTTTTCTTTCCTCTTCTTTTTTTTTTTTTTTGTGATGCTAGGGATCCGCCCTAACTTCACAGCTGCACTTGGCCAAGTCTCCCAAGTTCTTCTGTCCCCACCATATTCAGACCCAAGTCTGAGTATCTAGGATAGAGATTTTTGTTCCTAAGAAATGAAGCTTTGACTTCCAGTTAAAAAGCCCAAAGCCAACAGCTCTTTGATTAATTTATATAAACATCCCTTCAGCAGCAGTTTATGAATCTTATATGACCTGCCCCTCCAGCCTGGCTGATATAGAGAGTCAGGCTTCAGTGGAAAAGAAAATAAACCCAAATCAGCATTATTCATCTTATTTGTAATTGCCACAAACAAACAAACAAAAAAGGTCCTTCTTAATAAAAATCTAAATCATACTTGTGACAGAGATAGATTACCCACAAGGAAATGCTTCAGTTCTTAAGTTGTCTCCTTCAAAACATGTCAGCAATGCCTGAGGCAGTTGTGGTCTCCCCACAGCAATTACTTCCCACCTTACATTGACTGGGTGAAGGTGGCCACAACTCTCACCACTGTTATTCAAAGCCAGTGTGACAGACAGTGCATTTCTCTGGGTGAGTGCTGTTATGCCCCCACTTCCTTTTAGTGAACTGTCTACCTGTGCTATTTCTACAAATGCCACACACTCCATCTTTGTTAAACAGAAGAAAATACAAACGTGCTCCTTTCGTTCATGTATCTCTAATGGATTATCGTCACTCACTCATTTGTTGAAATAAAAGAGCTCCACAAATAACCATTATGTGTGTTTGAAGATGGCGCACATTGTGATCCCATATAAAATCTTATTATCACATGGTCTTAATATTGTAGCAAACACTCATACAGACAGCAAGCATCCTATTAAAACAGTCTCCTTAAGTTTTCAGAGAGCAAGAAAGGCGGCCCTGGGGAGGCTGGTCATACGTGGATTTCAAATCATGCTTATCTTCTTCTGAAGTCTGTTAGGAAGGACTAGCCCACCATCCTGAAGATAATCCCAGGCTGCCTATCAGCTTCAGAGCCGAGGAGCTCAGCTCTGTAACCGGGAGGAGATAAATCATTAACAGCCCCAAGGCTTCCAGGCATTCCAGCAGTGTGCACGCCGGCCCCCTGCAGCAGGTCGCTGGGGGCATCAATGATTAACTGGGGACACCGAGAGTGTTCCAGACCTCAGGGACATGATTCCTGGTCTTTTTCTCTTTTCTCCTCATTGTCTTGATCCAAAGTTACTTTTGAAATGTCTTATTAGAATGATTATTCAGATTCCTCAATATGCTAAAACTGGCATTATTTCATAAGAAAGCCAAAGCGTGCAAACAAAGACGTCCATAGCTCCTGGATCTAGAGCAAGGGCGGGGCCTTTGCGACCTTGCTCAGTCCCAAGGTCTGAGCGATCTGCAATGTGAATACGGGCCCTGCTACTGTGAAAGAAGTTCACCAAGCTCTCCCAAACATCAGTAAAAATTGTTCAGTTTAAGGATGTCTCTTTTACCGCTGCCTGTTTACTATGCTGGGGCCCAAGAAGGGAAGATGGGAGAACTTGGTTCACATTCTTGGGATGCACAAATAATTTCCTATTAAGGAGCTACAGCTTGGATTTTTACGGATAGCATCTTCCAGAGGATGGTGAAAGCCCAAAGATGTCTTGTTCTCAGAGAACCTCACTTGACTCACAGCACGACGAGGGAGGGATCTCAGGTCAGGCTGCTGTTGTAGAATGTTACTCTCGGAGCCTCACAGCCAACATCTTCATTGGGACAACTGCGCAAGAAACTGCAGGAGAATCCTGAGGTCTGGCTTATTCATTGTTGAATTTCCTCAGAGAAAGAGGGAGTGGAGTCACTGGACCCTATAGCTGCCCCGTACTGGGCCTCCAAGCCATCTGTATGTAATTCTACCCTAACTGCACACGGCCTTGTGCTCTTGACAGTACATACACTGTAAAGGTTAATTGAAGGGGATGGCATCTACACAGCTTTGGGGTAGTCTTCATCCATGCTGGGGTGGAACTTTATGATGGTGTGGGTGCATTAGAGCCACCTGTGCTCCTGTAGTAACCTCTCACCCGTGCTCTGTAAGTAAGCCAATAAACTAGTTCCCCAAGTTGGGCTTTTGTGGAATTCTACTTTGGCTTGTTGTTGGTGGCCTATAAGGAAAGGGGCAGAGACTGGTTTATGTCTCCCCAGGGAAAGTGCTCCCTCATCAGCTACCCTGTGATGGGGACCTTGACGTCAGCCATGATGCCAAGTATAATATTAGAGAGGGCACAGTGGAGTGGGCTTCTCACTGTCTCACATGGAGGATGAAGTGGCACATTTGGGACCACAGTTCTGGTCTCCAGTTTCAGAGGGTGTCTTCAGACCTCACTGTAAATTCTTCACTTAAGGAAAACAAGTTTTGTGTGACCCAAAATGATGGTGACTAACTATCTCTACCAGATCCTCCATCTCTTAAGAGGTGAAAGCAAAGTCTGCTTCTCAGTTTTAAAACATTCCAAAGGGTTCACAAAAGATATGGCCATGCCAGAGGGGAGTCATGGGTTGTCCCCTGTATTCAGAGTAGGACAGGATCAGGGCCATGTGATCTCATGACATTCCAGGAGAGTTACGGTGGAAAAGAAAGGGCAGTGTGACAGCCAGGCCTCAGTGCCTGGGTCCAGCCAGACTTCCTGGTCTCTCTGGGCTGTAATTCTTTTCTGTCAAGGAAAAGAAAATTACTCTTCAGGTATCCAGAGTTTCTTCTGACTCTACTGCGTGGTTTTAAGTGGTAACTGGCCTAGTTCTTGGAGGAGGTTCTTTCCTCTCACCTCCATTTTCTTCTGGACAGACTTGCTGCCCTCTAATTCCTCATATGGGAAAAGCAAATGACCACAGGAGGAATGTTCACAAATGCAAAGAGGCTTGCCCTCACTTCTCACCATAATGAGTTTTTGGAACTGGCCCCAAGGAGGGTCATTCTGAGGAGAATCATATTTTTGCCACAGTAACCACATTTAATTGGAGGTTGTGTCCTTGAACAGAAGCCCAGTATCAAATAAATCAGGGGCACAACCAACAACTGTCATAAAAATAAGGATATAGCAGTCATAATCCCTATAATAATTTTAAATAGTAAGACTGCACTCCTGCTCCATAAAATGTCCTCAAAAACCGTTATGGCCTCAAAAGGCCTTTAAAGAAAATGGGGCTCCTGAGAGTGAGGCTGATTGGGGAGAAAACAGTGCTGCTGCTGGGCAGAATTACCCTGACCTATGTCACCGTTCAGACCTAGTACAAACTAGGAATTCACTCAGCAACTGAAGGGGACCATTCTCTAGGACATCAGGTTTCTTCTAATGTGTTGAGGGCTCTCAACCCATTCCTCATTGTGTAGGGCAGACCTTCCTAGCCTGAATCCAGAGCAGTAGCAATATTTGCTGACTGCAGAGACTGCTCACACTCCAAGCCACACATCTGCCTTCTCCGAACTTGATGCAA